TTCCCAATGCTCTCTAACCCACATGCTTCAGGCTTCAACATGCCTTTCATTTCAAGGCAATCCAGAAATGCATAAAAGCACTTAAAGGACTTGAGAGCAATTTTTTGGGAGAGTCAAGATTCATCGTTCCCTAGATGCTCATTTCCTCTATTAGCTTTGATTGACTTATGACTCTCTTCTATGGCTGTCTGTAAGCAGCTACGCAGCCTGTAAGCAATTATGTTTTCATGCCTGACTCCTTGATCTCCTAACCTATTTGCTTGCATGGAAGTGTGATTTCCATCTCTACTCTTTTGCTCTCCACTCCACCATACAACTGAAGTGGGATTTAAAATATTTAGTGAACCCATGAGATTTGGATAATACCCTGGGAGGTCAGTTGTGGGTCATGGATTGTGCATTAATTATAACTGGATATGGAAGCTTTGTCTGGATTTTAATTATTGGTATATTATTTTGAAATCTACTTTACTGTTATCAAGTAAATTTAAAAATAAATGCTCTTTTAGAAAGGCCTACAAATACAAAATATTCAGGGCATTGTTTTTATTTAGACACTTTTGAAGAGACAAGGCAGAGTGAGATATTTTATCAGTCCAACTTCTGTTGGTGAAAGGGACAGCCTTTCAAACGGTCTTTGAAAGCCTTTCAAAGAGCTTTCAAACAGAGCTCTTCAGGTCTCGGAAAAGAACAGTGTCAAATACAAAGTGAGATACCACTTATGCTAAACTATCTGTCTCGTAAGGGAGCATTCAGTCAGTCCTCCTATTAACTCTCATCATTCGAAGACCTATTGGTTTATTTTGCTTGCCATTGTATTGTTGCAGTGTTGCTTTTTTTTTAATCAGTTTACAAAACAGTCTTGAATATCCACTCATGAATTGTGTTGGATCCATACGTCCTCTTTGTTGATTCTTTTTTTGAAATTAGGTTTAAACAAGTTTTTTTCCCATGTAGTTAATGTCTTGGTTTGCTTCAGCATACAGTAGAATTCAAAACATGTTATTTGTGGATGGTAATACCTATGATGTACTAAATTTTTTCCAGCAATTTCCAGGAAGTACAGGTCCTGCTCCTAGGAGCTCACTATCTAAAAACTGGTAGATAAAATTATGACAAGAGGAACTAGTATGGAATTTTTATACAAGTCAACTAGATCTGCTGTGATGTCTACATAAAAATTAAGCTTTCACAGGCCCACTGATGGGTCAGGAGCAAAGGGGACAGATGCCTACAGCCCAGCTACTCATCAGGAACATAGGCAGGCTTCCTACTCACCCTCCCTGTACACTGCAGAGGGATAGCCCCTGGGGTCTCCTGCTGCCCCCAGCTCCAACTGCTGACTTGGCAGCTTGCATTGGCCAGGAACTGCAGCCAGTGGGAACTACAAGTGTGGTGCCTGATATCAGTGGTGTTCAAGACCACTTGCCCCCCACCAGCCTAGGAATACATATTGGTTTATTGGCTGCCAGAGGGATGTGTCAGTTACTTTTGGGAGTTCCCTGAGCACCTCCTGTGCCCCAGCCCCCCTGCTTCAGCCCAGAGCCTACACCCCATACTCAAACTCCCTCCTAAAGCCTGCAACCCTCAGCCCCTCTCACACCTTAACCCTCTGCCCCAGTGTAGCCGGGTCTGTCATTCAGGGGTCCTGGGGCACCCCCAGTTCGTGGGCCCTTACCCCAATGGGTCCTGAGCCGCCCCTGTTCCCAGCCTCTACCTCTCCGCTCCCGCAGTCCTTTCTCTGCTGTCAGCTCCCACCGAGCTCGCTACTCCGCTGTCCACTCTGGTCGTCCCCCAGATCACGGGCCACCGTCCCCCAACTGTCCGCCCGGCGACCGCTACCGGCCCGGGACCGCTCTGTCCCGTCCCCTCCTCACTGGTCCGGCTGTCCGCCTTGGGTGCTGAGATTCTGGCTCTGGGCGCCGCACTGCCTCCCGCGGAGTCTCTTGCGTGCCCTGCGGAGGAGGCTGAGAACAGAAACTCTCCTGCTCTCCCCAGTCCTCCCCCCTTCCTGTTCCTCCCGCCACCCTTTTGAATTCCCCGCTCGGCGTCCGGCCTGCCCCTCCGTGGGCTCCTGGGGCCGAGAGTGCGGGGGTGAGTCCCCCCCGTCACACCCAGCCTGATGAAAGTGTGTAAAGGTGGGGGAGAGCAAGTGACAGAGGGGAAATGGAGGGGGGGCAGAACAGGACATGATTTCAGGGAAGGAGGAAGGCAGGGGGCAGGGTAAGAGTCTTTGGGTTGGCGCAGTTAGATGGCTGACAGCCCTAATGGGGGGATATGGAAGCCCCGTCTGGGCACCAGCCAACTCAGGCGCAGCACCACCCGAATGTTAGGTGGAACTCATCTGTGCAGGTGCAACTTGTGTGTACACAGGGGCCTACTATTGTCTGTTCAGACCTGGGGCCCAGAATTGCTGCCATTAGTCCTGAGTTTTCAAGAGGGCCTAAAGAGTGGCAGGTTGGTGCCCTGCAGATAGACTTAGGACAGTGGTACCAGGCATAGGGAACTGTATGGTAAAAACCTGGAGATGATTGTGCAAGAAGCAGATGAAACTGGGAAAACTGGAAGAGCAGAAGCCGTTTGGATGGTGGAGGCATGAGACAAAGCCTGGCAAAAATGGAGAAGCAGGAAGGAGGAGGATTTTACACCAAGTTTTTGAAGGTGACATGATCAGTGTTAAATCTGGTGTGATAGGAGACGATGAACTGAAGGAGAGTTGGATTCTAAGAGGAGACTGACATGATCATGCAAGGAATAGGCTTGAGTGGTTACATTTTGTGTGGACTGAAGGGGAGGCCAGAGGGGATATGGAATGTAAAGTTGGGATATAATGAGGACCTGAATGAAAGATTTCGTTTTGAGAATGGAAAGAAAATGTCAGATTTAGGAATTGAGGAAGAAGTGACAAGATTTGGATATGGCATGGGAGTGGATGAGAGTCAAATTATCCCTAGAATGTTGGGTGGTGATGGAGTTTTTTTCATAAATGAGAAAGGAAGAAGATAAGGAAGCAAAGTGTCTGATTTGCAGAAGAGCTGAGCACCCACAACTATCATTGAAATCAATGGGAGCTGCTAGTGCTCAGCAAATCAAGCTCTTGTTGTGTTTTTTTAGATTAACAATGTGTGTAATTAGTATTGATACACCTCATAACAACTCCAGTTATTTTATCCTCTTTTCTATTCATTTAAATATTGTGAATAGTTAGAGTAAAATTTTACTAGTAACATTTTCTGTAATCAAGAAAAGGCGCTAGGAATAGCAGTACATCCCTTCCATTGACATCCACCACAAATCGTCATCTTACATGGGCATGTGGCACATTCAATCATTCCTTACTGGTTCTCACACTTCACTCTCTCCTCCCAGCCAAAACTGCTGTGTAATTCTATCAAGCATTGTAACATGTTTGTTTTCTTAAAGGAAGTACCTTCTACCAACCCTGGAAATCTGTTAAATGTATATATGCGATTGATTAAATTTCCCAGACACAACTGGTTTCACAATATTGTGGTTACCACAGCATGTCAAACATCTCTTAGGTGGAATGTAATGGGGATAGTGGTAGTATCAATTCATCTGGAAATCTAGGTTTTAAAGGGCTTGTCCAAGGCATAAAGTACAAGCATGGTTAAGTATATTGGGGAAAGCATTGAGCGGAGGTGAGACTATCAAACTCAAGATCAGAGATAAGGATGTTAGAGTGGTTATTTGGCTAATTGTGTAGTTGATATAATTTGTATCAACTACACGATTAGTCGATAAGGGGAACTGCTCTGCAGAGCCGCAGTGGGGGTAGCTGGGCTCTTACTACATTTAAAATGCAGAGCCAGGGAGCAGTCCTGGCTCACACCAGTCTGGGAGCACTGCGCCTCTACATTTTAAATGTGAACGGGCCTCTGCCACTGTGAACTGAGGCTGCTCCGGCAGCCCCCCTGGGTTGAAGCGGCCGGGGCTGGTCGCAGACAGGGGCTGCTTCGCGGCAGCAGCCCCTGTCTGCGGGGGATCCCAACTCCCCACTGGGACCCCCACGGACAGAGGCTGCTGCTGGAGCAGCCTCTGCCCATGTCAGGCAGAGGCTACTGCCTCTGTTAGAGGCAAGGTTGGGGGGAAGGCAGCACTGCTAGATGGTAGAGGCGGCGGGGGGAGGGTGGGAAAGGCAGCACCACAGAGACGGTGCTGGAGGGAACCAGCTTCTTAGGTGGAGGGGGAAGCAAGTAATCAAGTGCTCAATTTGACTACTTTCTTAAATCCCTAATCAGAGGCACCCTTGACCTTCACACCAAGGGCATAGCTATCCCACAGGCACTTTAGCGAAGGCTTCCATTACGCCATAGTATAGATGCTTCCTACAGCAATGAAAGGGGCTTTTCCATACATTTAAGACAGCCACCTCCCCAAGCAGTAATAGCTAGACAGACAGACAGAATTCTTCTGATATATATGCACCTATTTTGGGGCCAGGTGGGTTTAACTGGAGCCTTCAGGTGTGTGAGTTTTTTAGGCCTCTGAGTACCATAGCTACACCAAACAAACTTTTTCAGGCACTAAATTGTAGCATTGCAAACTTCTGCACAGGTATCCCTTCCTTCCTCTCTTTTTCTCTAGTGTGGTCTATGTTTTAAAGTTAGATTGACTTACCTGTATCACTACCTTTGCTTGGGAGGATGTATATTAGATGAAAAAAACCTCTTCCATTGCTATAGGAGGTATCTGTACTATAGGGCTGCAGGTACGTAGCTACTGCTATGCTGCTGTAGCACCAGTAACGTGGGCATGCCCTCCCTCTCTTTCATCATGCTTATTTCTTTGTCAATACTTTAGTTCTGAATATTTTCAAACAAAGATTTTTTTTTTTTGCATTTTAACTTCCTTAGTGTGTTACGAGTTACCAGTTGTTATGTAGTACCAGTACACAACATGAATGTTTTCATATTTTTTTAAAAGATCAAGTAATTTATTCTCCGTTCTTCTGCCTTTCTGCATTGCTTTCTCTTCAGATTGAAGAAGGGAGCAAAGCTGCAGCTGTTGAAAAGTTACTGGCTGGAGATGAAATTGTCAGCATCAATGACGTGGGGATCTCCGGCTTCAGACAAGAGGCTATCTGTCTGGTGAAAGGTTCACACAAGACACTAAAGCTTACAGTGAAAAGGTAAGCTCATGATGTACAGCCGGAGGGCCAGATGCTGCCCGGCTCTGCTTTTCAAAGCAAAGGGACAGACTGAGGCTTTGTCTACACTCCACAGCTTTTAGTGACATGGCCATGTCACTAAAAGTCATACAGTGTAAACACTGCTTGTCAGCACTTTTGCTGACAAAATATTTCTACTGCCTATGAGCGAGGTTTGCAGTGTTGACAGGGGAGCACTCCTGCTGACAAGAAGCCATTTACATTGCCACTTGCCATGGCAAAACTTTTGCCTTGAAGGGGTTGGGGGAGGGTAGGGGTATTAAGCATTTGTGAATAACAAAAGTTGCATTGTTCGGTTGGCAGTGTAGCCAAAGCCTAAATTTGTTTAAAGAGCAGCAGCAATGATTCACTGTGTTATTTTGCAAGAGACTTATAAGATTCACATTTTTATGCATAAATATGTTACTTGTTCTTCCAAAGGATCATTCACAGAGTCTCCTACGAGATGAAATACTGTGCAGGCATCATTTAGGGTGAAGGTCCAATGAGCTTGGAGTGTTGCTAACAAAATTATTTTCCAGCTTCAGCTTTTAATTCAGGAAGGAGGAAAGGGAGAGGGCAGGCTTGCCCTGGCATTGTGACAATAATGTCTATATTGGGTGCAATAGTTGCACATGTGAATGTGATTTTTGAGGAATTGGTTTTATGAGGAGCAGGGTGGGAAGCAGTTTTTTCATCCTGCAGGATTTTTTTAGATTTAAAAAAAAAAAACCTTCCCATCCTGAATTAGGATAAAAAGTCAAATCTGAAAAAAAACATTAATCAAAAATCTGGAAAAAATCCAGTCAAGTCACTGGAAATGTGTCGATTTTTAGCTTTTTATGTATGTACTGTAAAATAGCTTAAATTCTGAACATTTTTATGTTGATCCTTAAAATGAACATAGCTGTCTTGACTATTGCAGAAAAATATTGAAAACTGATGTTTTCCTATAAACCATTTCAGATATGATGAATCAGCCTTTCCTGATTTAAACAAATCTTGTAAAAATATAAGACAAGCTCACTAATCATGTGCATTGTGGATGGTTCTGTGTTAGTAGGGAAAACTGCATTGTTGTAGAGCCAAAGAGAATATTACGGTGATTGGGTGATTCAGCACATGCATTTAGATTGACTTGACTATTAATGTTGCCTTAAATGGTGATTCTTGGTTTCTGGAGATAGCATTGATAGGAAATGAAGTTGAACAGCCTTTACTTTTAGATTAAAAAAGGCTTTCTTGTGGGGATGGAAGAAATTAGCATAGCAGTTGAATCTATTACCTAAACAGATGGTGCAATAACTTATAACTATGAATAACAGGTTCAGGGAGTTCTACCAAAATTTGTACAGCACCAGGACTAATAAATAAATAAAAATTGTTTGTACTATGATATAAATCATATCAGTCTCCTTTAACTTGATCCTGCACTGGCTACTCTGCTGGAAAAGATTTCTCATTAGAGTGTATTGTATCAGCCTTCCATGCTCTAGATGATCTGCTTATTCGGCATCTATAAAATCTATAAAGACAGCAGAGCATAGCTGCTATGTATCATTTTCTACTCTGTCTAAAGAATGTCTAGGCACATTAAATAGTGTGGTTGTTAGCTTATTTTGCAGAATCTATGGAAGTTCTGATCTGTCTGGAATATTAGAAGTTTTTTTTTTTTAATTAAAATATCCTAATATAGGCAGAGGTGCAGTGTTAACATGGTGTTGGGATGAATAGTCACAGGTCACCGCTCTCATAAAGGCAACCTCCTTTCTCCCTCATGAGGTATTACTAGGGATGTCAACATGTAGTCGACTATACAATTAACCGATAAGCCTGGGCTTATTGGTTAATCTTATTGACTATACGCACTCTCCCCCACTTTGCTACCTCTGGCTGTGCGGCGCTGCCACTTGGAAGTACCCCTTCCCCCCCCTTTGCTGCCTCTCTCATATAGAGGCAGCGGGGGGCGGGGAAACCGACTAGTCGACAGATTATCGACTAGTCTTCAACTATAGTCGACTAGACTTCAACATCCCTAACTCGGACCTCTGTGGACAGGGTCTGCTGCTACGCTGCACTGCTGCCTCTATATCAGAGGCAGCTGGTCTACATGGGGAAACTGGGTCCCCTGGCGGACTATCTCCTGCCTGCCACCCTGTGCTGTTTCCTCTGATAGAGAGGCAGCAGCATGAGGCTGGCAAGAGGGGCACCCTAGGAGTGGGGCTGGGAGCACACTGGCTGCTTGCCCCAACTCCGTGGTCTATCTAATAGTCATGTAACCATTAAGATTTTATGTGGTTACACCACTATTCAATTACATTATATCTAATATCCCTAGGTGTTACAGGTGTTTTTTCATTTGCAAGCTATACAGACAAGTCCTAGGTACGCCCTGCCTATGATTGTGTGGTGGGCATTTGGCTGCAAGGCTGTTACTCTCCAGTCAGTCCTTTCCTTTCCTTTCCTTTCCTTTCCTTTCCTTTCCCCACTTCCGTCACGTGCAAGCAACATGGATGGCACTCTGTCCATGAGGCTGAATGAAGTAGTAGCTCTAGGGTGACCTGGGAAGAAAAAAAAACTTAAACTCCTGAAGAACTCCTCAGATCACAGCCTGGGTGTTCATTTGGAGTCTGGATTTGTCTCTTACCCAGGTCATACCCAGTTCATGGTGTCTGCATTTTCAGGGCATGTTCATATTCTGTATGTTGGAAGGTTTTTTTCCCACAGACTCACAGCCATAGAGCTAGAAACATAAATGAAAGTCTAAATTATTCAGATTGCTATAAATCCTCATTGCATGCTTTCTATACAAGAGTTCAAAATAATCAGAGTCTTTTTTTTTTAAACTAAGGCACATATTTCATGTAAGTTCCGCTTTCTCTTATCCTAGCCTCATCTCTTTTTGGGGAGAATGTTTACACAAATCCCAGGACTTGATCATTGAAAGGAAAAAAAAATTCTTTACCTGCAAATTGTGTTTCACTTACTGACTGTAGACACTGACCCACCAAGAACTTTTTTGTTTGCTTACTATGTATTCATATGAAGAAGTGGGTTGTACCCATGAAAGCTCATATACCATCTACATGTGTTGTTAGTCTTTAAGGCGCTGCTAGACTATTTGCTGTTTTAAGTTTTTATGTATCCTTTGTCAAGCATCATTAACCTTTCCCTAAAGCATAAGTTTCTAATACTCTATCCTGTGTGTGTCAAAATGACTATTTAGTTTAAGCAAACAACCAATGTTCTGTGTGAACAAAAACGGGAGGCCTTTGCATTCAACAACCAAGTGTAGCATTGGGTCACATTTGTCTCTGTTTAATTATGGTATTTGCTCCTAATATCTATGGGAATTAGCTTGGAGAAGAAACTGGATGGCTGTGTCTACACTGGCAGCCTTTTCCGTTAAAGGGATGCTAATGAGACACTTCGGAATTGCAAATGCCACGGGAGATTTAAATATCCCCCGCGGCATTTGCTTGAACATGGCTGCCGCTTTTTTCCGGCTCGGGGTTTTGCCGGAGAAAAGTGCCAGTCTAGACGGGATCTTGTGGAAAATAAACCCTTTTCCAGAAGATCCCTTATTCCTACTTGAAAGTCCTACTCTTAGAGTCCCTGAGATCGACCAGTAGATTGTGAAAGTAGGAATAAGGGATCTTCCGGAAAAGGGTTTATTTTCCTCAAGATCCCGTTTAGATCCCATCTAGACTGGTGCTTTTCTCCGGAAAAACCCTGAGCCGGAAAAAAGCGGCAGCAATGTTCATTCAAATACCGCGGGGGATATTTAAAACCCCCCGCGGCATTTGCAATTCCGAAGTGTCTCATTAGCATCCCTTTTACGGAAAAGGGTGCCAGTGTAGACACAGCCGATGGCTATAATCTGGGTTTACAGCAGAGTTTTTCCTTTGATTATTTGGTGTGTGCTGTCAAAGAATAACTCTTTCTGCAAGGAGAGTGAATCAAAGCAGAAAATAGCTTTTTAAATTTGATATAGAGAAATCTATTTCTAAAATGACATTCCTCTGACCTATAAAGTAAGTTCTGTTGATGAAAGAGGGGTCCACCCAGAAAGCATTTGGTATCTGCCATTTCTGAGCAGTTCACAGATCTGAAATGATCTACTCCCGTGGTCACCAACCCGTAGATCACGATCTACTGGTCGATCTCAGGGACTCTAAGAGTCGCTCTTGAGCCCTCTCTGAACTGTGCGCCTGTGCAGTACATTTAAATTTGATTTCCTCATTTGAGGAGCAGCTACTCACCGAGCAACAACACAGGTGAGTAGCTGCGCAGAATGGTGGGAGCTGGGAGGTTGGGAGGGCTGAAACACCCTGGCCAGCTGGCTGTGGCTTTCAGCGAGGCGCAGCCTCCCTGGGCTGAGCACAGAGCAGCCGGGCTGGAGTGAAGAGAAGCAAGGTCTCTTTGCTCCAGCCCAGCTGCCCTGCGGTCCTGCTGTAGGGAACTCCCTGCCCCCAACCTTGTTCCCTTTCTCCTGCCCCAAACCTGTCCCCCGCTCTCCTGGCCCCCTGTTCACTCTCCCTTGGCCCCCCGCCCTGCTG